GCTGAAAGTCTGCCTTTGATTATTGTCGTTCCTCTACACGATGGGTCATTGTGCCCTTCTGCTTTCCAGATGGTTTGTTTCTTTGGCTTTCAGCAGCTTGATTATGATGTATCGAGGTATCGATCTCTTTGTGTTTGCCATACTTTGGCTCATTGAGCTTCTTGGATTTGGCAGATTAATGCTCAACATCAGACCTGGAAAGTTGTTGGCCATCATTTGTTCAAATAATTTTCCAGTCCTTTTCTTCCACCTTCTCCTTCTGGGATTCCTGTTACATGTATGTTTGTACGCTCTATATTGTACTTCATGTTTCTGAGGTGCTGTTCATTTTTCTTCAGTCATTGTTTTTCCTCCGTTTCTCAAGTTGGACAGTTTCTACGTTGATCCATCTTCAAGTTCACTGATTCAATCTGACGTCTCCAGGCTGCTGTTGATTTTTCATTTCAATTATTATACTTTTCAAATCCAGAATATTTCTCTCTCTCTCTCTCTCTCTCTCTCTCTCTCTCTCTCTCTCTCGTCATTCTGTTTTTTTGTTGAAGTTGTCTGTTTGTTCATTCCATGGTTTGTTCATTACTGTGGCTTTAGCATCTCTGTGTCTGGCAGGTTAGGGTTCCCTGCCTTGTTCTTTAAGTTGACTACATTCTCTTCCATAATTTGGAAGAGTACTGTCTTCATAGGAGTGAATCTTCCTGTGAGATCTTTGCTTACTTTTTAAGTCCTTCAATAAAGGTTTAAGTTTTTTCTTAAACTTCTAAGGGAAGCTATAGGACTTCTTATGTTTAATATCATAATTGATATTTTTATTCTAATTTATACTTTTGATTTTTGTATATTTATTTTATATGTCACATCCTTGGTTAAATCTCTCATTAGTTTGTAGATTTTTTTGGATTTACTATTTACTTACTGAACTAATACAAATGAAATCATAGTGTGTTAACAGGTCTTTTTCCTTAAATATAATTATTTTTTTTAGATGTAATTATTTAGGACAGGGCAAAAACAGACTAAGGAGAATAAAAACTCATACAGTGGTGGTTAGTAATTTTCCATTCTTCACTGAAAGATCTATCACATATTCTCCTCAGACAAAGAGCTAAGATAGCAGAGACTAGAAAAGGTACAGACAAGTCGTTTAGGTTGCAAACCTACTATCTTGATTGTCCATGTTCCTTGACCTCTCGTGATCTTGAGAAAGACACTATATACGTAATTAACTTTCTTTTCCTGCACGTGATTTTTGTTTGTTTGTTTCTAAGGCTTTCTGCGAAACTTTAGAGGACACAAACTACCGTTTTCAGAAAGAATTACTTGAAAAACAAAAAGAGGTGGAATCGCTGAAGAAACTGCTCGGTGAGAAGCAACTTCGTATAGACACGCTAGAGAGCAGGATCAGGTGTGTTGCCATACCTGTGCTTCTAGCCAGACTAAGTCAGTTCGAACTACTCTGGGGGAGACGCCTTGTATTTTCATATGATTTAGGAAATTCCTAGTTCCAAATGGAGTCATAGACTTCAGGCGTGCTTCCTTGTAGTTGAGAAAATTGTCTTTTGATTATTTATTTAGGAGCCTGAACATTGGAAGGATGGGAAACAGCAGGATAATAAGCCACTATCTGTTCGACAGGGTAAACATTATTCATTGTGGCTATTTAAATGGTATCTTCGTTTCTAGGCATGTATGCCACATTTTCACATACAGAACTTCCTTTTCCCTTCTCGTCGCCATGTAGTGATGCTAAAATCATTTTAAATTAAGCATGAACACTGATGTTTCTGTGACTCCCGGTCAGCAGTGCGTGAGCCGGGTGACTGCATTCGGACTTGACAGTGTCCCTCAGGAGAGCTGCAGTCCTCCCGCAGTGAGCGTCTCAGCGGGCGGGTGTGGGGAAGGGCTAACCTGCGCTGTCATTCCCTGCAGAGCGCTGTGCTCAGACCGCGAGGAGCCGCTGCACTGGCCAGGCACCGCAGGCGAGCGCGTCCCGGAGGTGGCGGCGCCTGCGCTGGAGGCTGAGCCCGAAGTCCCGGCTGAAGAGTGCAGGTGTGGAATGTTCCGGCTGCTGCGGCCTAGCCTGCGGCATTGCAGGGAGAGGTTAGAGTACTCGATAGGTATTAACTCGCTGCACCTGCGCCTGAGCCTCCTGGGCAAGCAGGAGGACGGGTGTTCCAGGCCGCCCTACACACGAGGCTCAGGCGTCCCGCTGCACATTTGCTTGTCACTGGAACTGAAGCCATGTTGATGAACTGGGCTGAGTCAGTTAATTTCTTTGTAAATCTTGATAAATTACTTTAATCTCCCATAATGTCATTCT